AAGTGGCAGACAGAGCTCATGCTGAGAAGCCACCTGAGGGTGGGGGAGACAGCACTCACTATTCTTTCCTGGTATTATGCGTCCCTCTGCTGTGTCCTGTACAGTGCCCCCAGGGCAAAGCCCTGGCCCTGAGGACTTGGCTGGGCCCTGTGCCCATTCCCGAGTCAATCAGTCACATTGGCTGGGGGGATGTGATGATCTCATAGGCCAGGCCAGGGCCACATGTTCACCGTTGGCTCAAGGGTTGAGGCCAGCCCACGCAAGCCCATGGAGTGTGAGGTTAGGGGAGGTGTGGCACCCCAAAGAAAAAATGGGGTGCTGCTACCAGAAGAAGGGGTACTGTAGGCCAAACAGACAAAAACAACAGAGGTTTCCTTCGGGTGGGAGAAAGTGAGGTGCTTTTAGGGGTTGGAGCTTCTGGGGCCCTCTGCAGAGGTAGGGTGATACGGGAGTTCAGTTCTCATGTCCAGCCCAGTGGGGCGGAATCTCTGCTCTGTTACTTATTAACGCCGTGATTTTGAGCAAGTTACCCAATGTCATACTTGACTTCCTCATCTGCAAAATAGGGTAACAACCGCGCCTGTTCATAGGCTGATTTGAGAATTGAATAAGTTGCATGTAAAGCAGACAGTACAATGCCCATGAGGTGGAATTGCTCCGGAAATGAGACATAACTGCATCGCTGTCATCTCAACACGCCCCAGTTCGGCCCTGCCTGGAGGATGGAGGAGACCTGGGTGAGGGTCTCGGTCTATGAGCCAACCTCAGCTGACTCCCACCATTCCCGTGCCCTACAAATACTCACCCGCCATCGGCTTTGCTTTCTCATGCTCCCTCCTCTAGCTCTGACTTTTTCAAATCTCATCAGGCTCGAGAGGGGGTTTGAAATGCTATGACGATCTATTTTTGAGCATCAGCAGATTGGGTTGGAAACGCTGGTTCTCCCACAAGAAGACACATGCTCATGGGATTTCCCTGGCAATCCCATAAGAGCCTGAAGGTCTGTCATCGGCAGCTGCATCAGGGTGGGGAAAGGGACCGTTTTCAAATTGTTAAGAGAAATTTTCACATTACATGTTTCCAGCCAAGCAAAATGGCCAGGCCTTCTGCAGGGGATGCCTGCATGCCGTGTCCCCAGGGGGATGGGACCGGCCAAAGCTTGCAGCTGGAGTCCCTGGGGCTGCCCGGGGAACCAGGAGTATCTGCACAGAGCTCAAGAAATGGGGAACTATTCACCCGAGATGAGTGAGCACAGGGCTCCAAGGAGGAAAGAAAGTTCTTAATCAAAACATATCCTGCTTTTATTCCTGCCACTGCAAAACCAAAGCTGAATGTTTGCCAGGGATTGTGCTTTCTGAAGGGTTCACTGCTGAGAAGGGCAAAATGAGGTTGTTGACATCGGTTACGTGCGGGGAGGAGGCTGGTGTGGGGGATGGAAAGGCCAAAGCAAAAACAGAAGGAAAAACTTCCACCAGTCATAAAACTAATCACGTGCGATGTGATTGTTTATGCATTTATGTAAAATCACGTGTATACATATATATGTCTAAAGAAATTTTAAAAGAAGTTTTAAAAGGACATGTGGGCACTCACCACTTCCTAGCTTGTGTGTCCTCTCTGATCCTCAGTTTCCTCATCTCTACAATGGGGGTAGTTATAGTACTTCATCTGTCTTGAGGATTCAGTGATGGCTAAGTACAGTGTCTAGTAGCTAGCAAGAAAACAATCAATGCTAGCTAATAAGGTCAGTCACCGAGTGAAAACAGAAGCCGAAAGCCTAAGATGGAGGGGCAAGGGGGGTGGTGGTGAGGGTGAATAGAGTTTTCAGTTCTCCAGAAAGCTCTACCTCCTTGTGTTCCAGTCATATTGGAACCATGCCTAGCCACCTACCAGTCTCTCTCTCTCTCTTTCTCCTTTATTCCTTGCTGTCCTTCTACTTGGGATACTTCTCCATTTGCCTAAGTAGCAAACTCTTCTCTGTCTTCCAAGGTCCATCTTGAATGTCACCTCTTTTGTGACGCTTTTTCCGGTTCCTACCTCCCAGGTAAAAAAGGCTCCTCTTCCTCGGTGCCCCTACCAGCTGCCACACACAGCCAATATGGCCACCCCGCGTGGCAAACGGCGTCCCCTGAGTCCTTGCCTGTTGCCCGGGGCCAACCGTGAGCTCCCTGAGGGCACAGACCATGTCCCGTAGCTCCTGGCCCCCAGGGGGCATCACGAAGTGCTTGCTGGCCGGAAACACAAAAACGGAGGGTGATTGTTCTAGAAGGGTGACGGCCAGCTGTTCCCCACTGTAAGGAAAAACAGGACTGAAATGGATGTAGCTGCAACATGGGAAACCTCAGTGAGACACAGAGAATCCCCAGAGCCGGAGTGTCAGACACCAGCCCAGGTTCCCGCGGGACCGTGCGGAATCTCGTTGAAGGGTCTTTAAAAAAAAAAATAACTTTTTATGTTTGGGGGTGATTCTGATGTGGTTTTTCAGGAAGGCAGGCCCCCAGCTTGTGCTGAGGGTCACACAACAGCCCGAAAGGAGCCCGGATGGCAGTGGAGGGGCTTTCGGGAGGGATCGCGCCTGTGGGCGCCGGGTGGGGGTGCGACGTCTCCCTGCAGCGAGCTCGGATCCCAGTGAGCGAGCGGACGAGTGTTTCGCCAGGGCCACACAGCTAGCCTGTGTTCAAGCACCCAAGTCTAAGCACACTCGACTCTTTCTTTCCACCGCCTTGGAGAGCAACACAGGAAGGACGAGCTCGATCTGAGACAAGCGCTTCTCCCGCTGTCCCCCCTTGCTCAGCCCGCCCGCGGCTGCTGTGTCCCGGCTGGTGGCCGGGCAGAGACGGGCAAGGCCTGGTCTCCGTCCTAACTGAGCCGCTCATTAAGAGGAAGACAGGCCTCCAGCGTCTTATGGCAAATAACGGGTTAATTATCTGTAGAAAGTGCTCTGTCTCGGGAAAAGGGTGTGACAGGAGGAAGGGTGGGGACAGAAAGAGGCCATCCCTTGCTGTCATGCCGTCATCCAGTTTAACACGGGGAGGCAACATCGCTATCCCGCTTCTCTCTCACCAAGGTTCAGAAAAGGCAGGAAAAAAAAAATAAGTTTTAAGATGTCTTTGCAGTGATCTACGCCCCCAAACTCCAAAAAGATGTCCAGCCACAGCGTCAGATCAAACATTGTAACCTGCGGGCAGGCGCGGGAGGGAAGACGTGAGCTGGTGCCTGAGGAAAGGACGCGCAGGTCAAGTGCGCGCTGGCTGGCGCCGGGCAGGCATCTCGAGCCACCTGGGTTTTGGCTAATGGAGGTTGCAGCGGCCTCGTGGGGCCAATCGCAGAAGAGACTTGCTTCACAGCGTGACAGCAGTCACCAAGTGCTGTGGGACACAGTGGGTCTCAGTTTTGATCATTTCGATGCACAGCCTTCCTTCTTGGGTCCCCACTTGCCTGATGCTACTGGGCGCCGCAGGGGGGCGTTCGGAAGGACGCACCCCTGGGGTGGGCATGACCCTCCCACTGGGACGGTGATTCCAAGCTCTCCCAGGCGAGGAGCCTCCCTCGCCCTGAGCGGTCCCCATGTAGGTGACAGTCCCCTGCTGTGCAGGCCCGAGTCAGCCAATACTGACTAGTCCAGCAGAGTTAATTAGTTGCAGCTGAGCTTGGTGCTATTAAAAGCGGGGCAAGCCAATGACATTGACACACTTGGGTAGGAGAGACATGCGGGATGTTGAGTGGAGGCCGAGAAAAAAAAAAAAAAAGCTGAGAAGAAATGAGACCCAGGACTTCATTGTCTAGAAAGCAGGCAAGCACGTTGGGGAGCCGAGAAAGTCGCCCATCGCACCCATTGTCTACCATTTCCTTAATTTCCACTGTCAGGCAAGTCCCTTTCTAATCAAGGTGCTAATCACGCAGTCAGAACTGACAAGTGACAAACACCGACCAAACCACAGGACGTGACAGTCTGCGTCCTGCTCCGAGTGGCTGCTGAAAGCAAAACGAAAATGAAAATCTCTTATGTCGGGAAGACACGAAAGGTGCAGCGACCGGGCAGCCTGCTGGAAACGCTGAGGACGCAGCTGAGATGCGAACACACGCCACACCCATGTCCTCCCCTCCGTGGTGGCATCGGGGCCACCTGTGTCCCGTACTCAGCCTCCCCCACGTACAGAGTGACCCCGCACATGTAGGAAGGCTCGGGAGGCTGTACAGGCGGGGAGGGCGGCAGGTGCGTCCCCAGGGGCAAACCAGGTCCGTGAGCGGCAAAGGAGGACAACGCAGGCAGCTCGCGTGTGACCCACACATTTACACAGCCGCCCCCCTTAGAGCCAGGCACCAGGCGAGCCTCGTATCTCTTCCTCCTCTCCCCAGGGCAAGCAGCTCAGGCCAGAAGCCTCGCCCTCAATCCGGAGCCCTGGTCCCCCCACGACTCCCCCGTTCTGAGCACAGCCGCGGGCCCCGTGCTCACAGCAGGAGCTGGGAGCTCCCTGCAAACCTGGGCCCAGGCTGCAACCCAGACAGTACCTGGAAGGGGGAGGCCGATGATGCGTGTGAAAACCCAGCGATAAGGCTTGGCCCAGGACAACCCGTTATGAGTCCTGAACTACTGGCTTACAAACCGGCTGGGCGGTGGGACTGCCTATGTTCTGGCTCTTCAATTATTTTATACCGTGTTCACGAAGTTCCAGAAAACAGCTGAGCAGAAAATCAAATTTGGGAAGAATAAACCATGTATTCTAAGAGATGAAGTCAGAAATGTGACGTGGAATATGACTCCTTTGGGCTCATTAATATGCCTGATTGGCCCATTCTCAAGTTTACGGGCATTTGACCTCTTCCTGAGCAGAAAGCAAAACTTCTCAGAGCTCATCCAAAACCAGCGCTGTGGTTGTCACCAATTAATGGCAGGAACCTAGACTTGTGACCTTTGTTCATGGTCGATATATGCTTTGTTTGAAGAAATATTAAAATATGTATTGAGTCAAAACTGTCAGAAACTCAAGAAACAAATATACCACCAAATGGAAAAATCATTTAATTCAAAATCATACTTCCACTCATTTCATGGCGATTGTCACATAAACCAACCAAATGTAAGAAAGCCAAGTTTCAGAGGTCACTCAACAGAAACTGTATTTTCTTTATAGATAGATATATTTAGTGACACAAAAGCACATTTTTTTTAAAAAGTCTGAACATGGCAAAACTGTTTTCTAATAACAGGGAACAAGTTCTATTCTAGTCACAGATTACTTTTTAATTATGGAATTGGATTCTATGCACCAGTCAATAGTTAATACTGAAGTTTAAAACAGTGCATTATTTATGATTTTTTAAAAGAAAACATTAAAGTGCCATTTTATAAGTACTTTACTGATATTATATCACACAGCACTTTACAGTATACTCAAAGGTAGCCTAGATTATGAATTAAACATGCAAATATTTTCTTTTCCAAAATATGGACAAAGCTGTCTTTTAGAGTGCTTTTGAACACTAGCCTAGCATTACCTACTAAGCATTTATGGGTTTGATATTTTTTTCAACATGACTTTAAATAAGTTAACAGGGAACGTAGCCGCAGATAGTAAACCATTCCATAAATATGAACACAGTTTTAAAATGGCACTTAATTTACATCTTTGATCATTTTGATAGGCAATCAACAGCCTCTCTCATTTCCCTAATTCCCAACCTCCAGATCTTAAAGGCTACAAAGGCTCATCGACTGCCAGCTCATGCGGGCCTCTCTACAAGTCTTTGTCTTTATGTAAATATGTGCTGTACACACACACAAACACATACGAATACATATATACTTTAGAATCACCAATGTATACTTTCAGATACAAGGTTGGTTCTGGTATCTGGATACCCAAGAAAGCTGCTTGTCAACGTGTGTCTGGACGACTATGTTGAAGTCGTTGATGTAGAACGGTGCACAGTGCCTTAGCCTCTCTGGGACTCCTCCAGGTAACTCTGACATCTTGCTTATTAACACTGTGGTTCTCACTGACTACACTAAAGCGAATTTTGACACAACAGCATTTGCTACCCTTACACAGGTCTAGGACTGTGTTAAGTCTTTATTGTCTCAAGCACTTCACCTTGAGAGATGTTTTCATTGCATAATATCCTGCAAAACTTGTGCAAAAATATTAGTTGCAATTTTTTTTCTGAGTTGTTTTTTCTCCTTATTAAAGAATACTATTGATCCCTCTCTAAAAAAAAAATCCAAATTTCATCAGTATGGTTCACCTTTCTCTTTCTCTGGGGTCCCGGTGTTACTTTACATCCAACACTTTTTCTCCCAAGAATACAGGTGCTTCTATTTGAAGACCACATCCCAGCAAGGACTGGCTCTGAGTGACATCTGGATTCTCTATATGGCCTCTCCCTCCACTCTGGGAAGCTCTTTACTTAGACAAGTGATGTAGGCGGCAAAAGGGAAAAGTTAATTATTACTTGTTGGAGTCTTATCTCAGGCATGCCGTGGGATTGTGCAAGGTTCACTGCTCTGCCGCTGTTGTCATTTTGATGCTACAATTACAGAGAAGTGGTGCAGCACCCAGCAGATCGGCGTGGCTGTCAAACACAGTGAGCACGACAAGACGCATTTTTTAAACACCAGCACGGGGTGTGTGAGAGGACACCCTGCTAACTTCAAAAGGGACGTGGGGCAGGGTTGTCGAGGTAACTGATTATTGTCAGGTTTGCCAGAGATGACAGGTAACTCCCTAGACAGAGAGCAGCTAGGACATTCCTTTTAAAGTCAGGCAGCTTAGAGGCTGTTGGTTTCCTCAATCCTGGCTGCCTACTTGGGTAATTGGGTCAACTCATAACACACTCGCTACCAGGGCAAACTCTGGGTGCCATTGTGGCCACTGGTGTACCTGGGAGTCCCATGTCTGCAAAACTCGGTGAACCAGACTTGCTTTTGGAAGCAGAAGCCAGAGATGAAAGGTGCCACTAGACAGCCATGAATCAGATCATTTTGGGCTGCTTCTGTTTGCTTCCCTACCCCTCAATCATGGATGCTTTGGGGGCCTCTGTCGTCAAGACACAACTTTTCGTGTGGCTGGAGCTGCCACTTTCAGGAGACGCGAGCCCAGTTGATAGAAAAACTTTCCCTCAAGCCACAGGTACAGCACGCACAACTCTGGAGTCCTGCGCAAGTGCCTGAAGTGACCCTGTCACTAGCATGGCTCTGTCCTACCGATGCTAGTCTGGCAGGGCTTGACTGCTCATTCTCTCTCTCTCTCTCTCTCTTTGCCTCTCTGCCCAAAAAGCACTCAGCAAAAAGAGATGAACTGAAATGACATTGAAAAAGATGGTTTGGTCTGACGTAAGAAAACACATATTGGCTGTAGAAATACTAAACACACTGAGCCGAAAACTGGCTCCAATTCTAGGATACCAAGGACAGCTGCACTGTACAGGGTCCATCCTGTGTGTTAATTTCCAAAACAGGAGAGATTACCTTTTTAGTCTTGAGCAAGTCACAGTTTTACTTGCTTGGGGGCAGGGATATGAAGCCAGCTATCTTTGCATGGCATGGCATTCTCTAGCCACGGAATTCTGTGGGCAATCTACAGGAGAGACTGATCTTACTATCCCTAAAAGATTCCGGCTCTGGCTACCTGATCCCAGGGCCTAGCAAAGGAAACTCGAGGCTCTTGGGAAATGGTCTTTCCCCCTGAGACCCAATTCATTCTCCTACTCTGCCCCAAAGTTCCCTATTCAAGCAGAGAGCGTGAGGGGTGGGGGTGGGGATTGTGGAGGGGGTAAAATCTATTTTTAGGCTTCAAGTTCTTCCGACTTGTTGGCTCATATTCTGAACGGTTTTCTCCAGTTCTGTAGCTAGTGGGAGGAGGGGAGCTTGGCTGGGCAAAGGGAGACAGAGCAGCCACCTGTCACAGGCCCAGCATGGCCAACAGGGAAGCTGCGAAGGAGTCTATCTAAAAGATCCCATTGGTGGCAGCTCTGTTTCCTTCTGGCTTCAAATCAGGGCTAACTCGGGAGGGAGGGAGGTGCCTCCGGGGAGTCACGCGGGGGCCAAGTGTGCGCAGGTGTGCTTCGGCGAGGAAGCTCCCAAAGCAAGGATGTCGGCCTTCTATTCCTCTCCGTGAGCTCCAGGTAGGCTTCTGATGGGGCTGATGACAACCGAAAACGTCAAGTGTGTTAAAAGCCTGTTGTGCTCCCTCTGAACTGGAAGCACAGCGGTACAGGAATGCTCGTCCCCTCGGTCCCCATGCCCCAGTCTGCTGCTCCCAAGTGCAGAGGGAGAGGCCCACCCTGTTAGTGTATCTCCTTTCTTCTTGGGTTCTCAGTGACAGGTTCCTGGAGTCCTATCTTGGTCTTGCCCCTTCTTCATTCTTGTTCCCTGATTCAAGGGTAGCAGGCTGCCTGCCCCTGGGTGAGCTCCTGCATAACAGCTGCCGACCCCTCGGGCTGAGAAACTGAACAGTGAATCACAGCGCGGAACCCCTGATAACTCCAGAGCCACCTTTAAAGGTGTAATGGCACCATGTGTACATTCCTCTCGGAGACTGTTTCTTATCTGGGGGTTCCAGGGAAGCCGGAGGTGGAAGGGAAAGGCATAAGCATGTCTAGGAAAAGAGGAAGCAGCAGCAGATCAAGAACTAAAGATTATAAGGAGCTAGTTATTATTATTATTATTTTTTTAGAACTTACAGATGCACACAGAATTTGCAGGCTAGCTTGCTGTCATTTATAAAGCCTTAGAAGATGTGGAGAAAAGAAGCGAGGAGCACAACGATCGTTCCATCTCCTTCTGTCCTGACCTTGTGGGGTTGCCAAGAAATACACCTGAGAAGAAAAACTAAAAAATCTAACCCTGGCCCCACCTACTGAGATCCTGAGCTTCATCTTACTAAGTAGGAGTTTTCTGGAAAACTCACTGCCTGATGATGCTCTTTCCATCTCCAAATCCAAAGCCCAAGGAGGGATCAAAACCACACGTGCATAAAGACTGAACACCATCCATCCGTCACACCCACCAGCAAGAACCGAGAGAGAGCGAACACAGGAACGGCGTCCTCCTCCAGGCCAAGGAGGGGACAGAGACCTTGACTCTCTTCAACCTTGCCTCCTCTCCCCCCCTTTCAAACCCACTGTCCACCAATCAAAGCCTAAATGTGTGGAGCAACCAGCTTAAAGAATATCAAATATAAAACTTTGCCATATAGTATTTCAAATCACTCTATTTACAAGTTCATCTTTTCCAAAAAAAAAAAAATGTAAAAGATACAGTAATTCAACACAATTCAAGTTTTTCTTTTCTTCTTTGAAGTTCCCTCACGAGGAATTCCGGAAGCAGGAAACACTCTCCGGAGCAACGCTGCCGTCCGAGGGGCTCCCGGGGAGCTCGGCGGTCCCATCGGCCGCAGTTTGTCCAGAGTCACTCTCACAAGGACAGTCACATGTGGAAGATGACTGATGACTCTGCTCTTTGGAAGCCGGGTGAATTCGAAACGTCTAGGCACGGACATCCACACCCGAGGCAGTCTTCCCGAGACACAGACCCTTTGGACCAGAGAATTCCCTTTCTTAGAAGGTACCCATCCCACCCTCCAGGCCCCGACCTTCCGGTGTCTTCCTGAATCACAACAGCTTATATGAGTCTCATGCCTTGAAAGGCTGAGAATTCCCTTTTTCTGAGTGGCAGTGAACATACATGTCCTTTAAACTATAGGTGGTGGGGTTAGCCCGGGAATTATCCTTGAACACCACCAGGGCACCCACTGGTGCTCAGCGGCCTGGAGCGGGGCGAGGGGGCTGGTCAATGGTGGCTTGGAGGCGGGCAGGGGCAGGGGTGAGTGAACACGGGACATGGGGAAGCCTGCTAGATAAAGGGACCGAGTCACCCACAGGGAGGTGGCATCTTACCCTCTAGAAAGCAAACACCAGTTGCACGGAAGAACAGAAATATTAAGCCCGTATGTGGTTGAATCTCAAGAGGTTACTAGAGTTTGCTCCAAACATATCCCGATGCTGCTGAAATTCATCAGAAAGGGAACAGTTCCCAGCTGCTATCCTGTCTGCCCCAAGTAGACCACCCTAATTCCTTGATTTTTCTGCTTCGTGTTGTTGGAAAACCTTTTAATAAAAACTACCAAAAGGGGGTTGAAAAAAATGTGTCATGCGAAGAGAGTATTTTTTTTTTTTTTTTGGTTTGAGAGTAGGTTGGGTTGCCGTGGTTACCAGGCGACAACGGCAGCAGCCCGAAGTGGCAGAGAAGTTCCTAGCCTAGCGGGGAGGAGGAAGCGGGGTGGGGCGAGGGGGTGCTCCCCCATGCATGAGAGGCCTGGACCCGGCAGCTGCGGAGATGGTGAGAGATCGGATCTTACGCAAACACCGCGGTGGCCCCTCTTCACCCAGCGTGCACACAGACAGACCCGGCCGCCTGGCGCGCCGTGGGTCTCAAGTATCTAGAGGTGGGGTAGAGAGAGCGTCTACCGTAAACAAAAGCAATGGGCCCGCACGGGGCCTCCGTGCCAGTGCCTTCGCCCAGCCCTGCCTCCGCCTGTGCTCTCGGGAACTACTGCTCAACCCCACTTCCTCTTCCGCAAGGCCGGGGCTCTGGGCCACCGCTGAAACAAAATGAGTGCTCCCTGGTTAGGGCACCCGTGAGAGAGTGGCTTCGCAAGCCTCTCTCTCGGTTGTCACAACCACGCGGCCTCCTCTGCTGATTGACTTCTGTTTCGCGCCGCGTCGCCGGGGGTGGGCTGAGGTGACGGTGGGGATGGGCGACACCAAAGTTCACAGAGACGCAGTGCGTGCCGGCGGGCAGCAACGGGGAGTCAGTCACGCCACCGCCCTTCTCAGTGGCAGAGGGAAATGGCCGACGACGCCGGAATCAGCAGTTGTCATGGATACCACGTAAAGCTTAGCAGTCCCGCTGGGGCCCACGGTTAGAGGAACTCCACGTAGTTCTCCGGGATGAGGCCGGTCTTTCCGTTCAGAGTCCCCTCCAACCAGCCGGGCTCCTGAGACGGGCGAACTGTACAGGGAGGGGAGCCAACGAGAAGAGACGACGTTAGGGACCGGGCGGGAGGTGGCTGTGTGTGTGTGCGCGCGTGCGTGCGTGCGTGTGTGTGTATACACGCAGGAAGTCTGAAGGATGAACGCAATCCCTTGTTAGGTAACATGATTCTAGGACTTTTTTTTTTTTTTTTTTAAAGAGAGGCTCTTCCAGGAGTTTGAGGTTGCTGTGAGCTAGGCTGATGCCATGGCACTCACTCTAGCCTGGGCAACAAAGCGAGACTCTGTCTCAAAAAAAAAAAAATAAAAAAAAAAAAAATAAAGAGAGGCTCTTAACCTTTTGTGGCTGTAAGCCTTCTGATGAAGCCTGTTCTGAACTGTCTCCACAACAGAAAGGGAAATAGATGCGGACATTCAAAATTTTACATACAGTTTCAGGGGCTTCACGAACTTCCAAAGTTCTTGGTTAAAACTATAAACAAATGACAGATTTCTACTTTTCAGGTTACAGGTCAACAATTGTGGTCCATCCATCCATCCACCCACCCACCAACCCACCGACCCTGCTCCTCAGTTTCAAGCAGGTACAAAGTGTAGTGTTCACGGAGGACCGAAAAGAACTAGTCTTAAAGATATCTAGCTTCTAATCATAAATTTTACCTCCCTTCAAATCCCTACCCTCTGCTTCTAATTTCCGTGCAAATTCTCTGTGTGTGTATGTTTCTTGTCATTTTACACCCTTTGAATAGCGCCTCTCTGTTTCACCCAAACCCTCTTAGGTTTTTTTTCCGTTCTCTCCTACATGTGAGTCTGAAAACCATCCTCTTCCTCTATTGCAGCTTTCAAAATTTCTGCCCCTTTGATTTTTCAATATCCAAAGAATCTATCTATCTGCTTTCACAAAACCACACCCACCATCTACTTTTGGGAAACGTATCTCCCTGGAAATCACCGTGATATTATAAAGCTTATACGAAATCCAGCTGAGTGTGCAAAGCAGTCAATAGCAGGAAGGAAGAGAGAAGGAATCATGGGACGGAGGAGGTGGGAGTTGTTTGTGCCCGTGAGCTGCAGATACGCAGATCGCTCTGGGGAGGGGCAGGGCGTTATTCTTAATGTATTAGGACAACTCCAATTTTCCAAGATTGTTGGAAGAGAATCAATTCTCCCCTATTCCCTTCCTGGGCCACGTAAGTGACTTCCTGAGCTTGTTTTAGAAAGCACTTCCGTCCCAACGTCACACTGTAATTCTAGTTTCAGTTTGTAGGGAAAGAAGCAAGAACAGAAACCAAAGGAAGCAAAGGGGAGGTAGCAAGAGAACAGGGCTTGAGGCTTATAGAAGAGCAATGTCGAACTTGTGTAGACCTTGAACGCTTCCTTGGGGGAAGACAAGGTCAGACACCTGTTATTCAACAGTTCCCCTTCACAGACCTTGCACAATTCCACAGGCTTCAGGAGCAAACCCAAAGCAGCAAGGGTACTGTGGACGCATGACAACACGAACCCTCACAAGGAAGAGCGTGGGGGAGAGGTGTCTGGGGAGAACACATATATCTTAAAAGCAGTCTGGCCTCCCCGACTACCAAGGCCCTTCCACACCACTCTTAAATGTCAATGACACTCAAATCCCCCTGCCCTCTGCCCATCCATCTGGCTGAAGCTGACAAGACCACATCGGTCTCTGCACCTGCAAAGTGGCGACAATAAAACTCTCTCCCCTTCCGTGGATTCTTAAGAGCATTGCCGGAGCCGGCGTGGATAAAGCACTCAGCACAGTGTCAGTGCCCCACAGTCTGTCACTAGGAACCCCCCGCCCCCCTGACCAGACACTGGTCAGCAACACTCCCTCCCAGTGACCTGGGTCAGGGGCTGGTCTTGACATTCACCTAAGCTTCAGGAAGCCTCCAGTGTTTAGAGTCAAAACGAACAAATCAAGCCCACTGCCCCAATTAAAAGATGTAGAAGGAAGAAGCCAACCAAACAAAATAAAACAAAAAAAGAGACCTTTTCCGCTAGACAGCAAAGCCCTTGATTGAGATTTTGTGACTCTACTGGCTACATGTATGTAGTCCACCTCCTTCAGACTTCCTCCCTCCCGGCCAGCTGTCCAAACACGGCGCCGTTCCTGAGGCAGCAACATTAGAAAGGGAATTTGCAGACTGAGGGGGGAAGAAGAGGGGGCGAGGGAGGCCCTCCGAACACGGAGGCCGAGAGGTGTGTGACAGGGGACGGCAGAGGACGAGGCAGCCTTGGGTCCGACTGCCGACTCCCCGGAGGCTTCAAGTCAGGGTTCGTTAAAGGACAGCCCCAGGCCACGTGCATCAGAATCACCTGGACGCTTCATTAAAACTGCAGATTCCTGGGCCCCATGGCAAGCCAACGAAAGCAGAAACTCTGCGCGTGGGGCCCAGGAACCTGTATTTTTTAACTAATTCACCGAAAGTTCAGGGCTGTGACTTTTCTGGGCCCAAATGCCTCTGCAGCAAAGGTGGTAATGAGAATTCAAATGCCAATTCCCGTTAACTGACAGGAGGGAGGCAGCGCCATGCTCTCCCTTCTTGCTCTTGCCTTGTTTCCCGTCCTCACACTTTAAGGCTTGGCTGAAGCCCCAAGTCCTTCCTAAATATTTCCAAGGAATCCCTTCTGCCTGCTCCCTCCTCTAGACTCCTGGGATGCTCACAGCACACCCACCCGTCAATGGGTCCTATTAATACGCTGCTCACTTCTGCTAAGCTTCGCTTCTCTATCTAGTTTTTTTTAGTGCATTTTGGTTAGTATTCTAGCACTCCTTGGCTAGACAATATTCAGTAACACCCTTGAGAATGATGATGCAAGCTAACACCTAACAAAATGCTCGGAGCTGTCAAGTGCTCAGAGTTTCAGCTATATTGATTCATTTGACCCTCAGGAGCCCCTGCCTTTCCGCTTCAGAATGACTACAGAATTGATTCTGCGATCATCCTCATTTTACTGATGAAAAACAGGCTCAGAGAGGTTAAGCGTCTTGCCCCAAATCACACAGCTGGTGGATGATGGAGGTGAATCAGGGCCCAGGACATCTGACCCCAGGGTCTGTAGCTGAACCACTACTGCTGTTGCTGGGCCCAGTGCACGGACCATCGAAGATGCTCAGCGAGTGAGTGCTCTCGGGGCTGAATTGCGCCAGCGACCAACGTGGTATAAAAACACGAAAGGTGTTGTAGCAAGCTGCCCGGGCGGCTCTCCAGCCCAGCAAGCATATAATAAATATAGGCTGCTGCTGACATGGGTGTGCTTCCTGCCAGCCACTTTCTCCCAGCTACACCCCATGTACCCCCCGCCCCTGCGCATGCAACTCACGCCCTCTCCCCTTTGCTCACTGTGGACAGGGAGCAAGTCTGTGACTAAGATCTCTGATGGCTGCCGGCCCCAGGCAGAAGCCCCAATGGGAAGAGGCACAGACCCTTGTGTAGTTAAAGTGCATGCATTCATTTCATAAATTATTACTGGGCACCTACCATGTCCCAGACACTGTGCTAGGTCCCTGTGCAGAGCACAGAACAAGCAGACGAGATTCTGCTCTCGAGGAGGGACAATCTGTCAGTAAACAAGCATGTAGTTTTAGGTAATGATAGAAGAGAAAGCCAGACTGGGACAGGGATGTGGGCGGGTGGGAAGGAGCTCAAGAAGCTAAAACCTAAAGTATCCAAAGGGGCCAGCCTTGCAGTCAGTGGGAAACGCAGTTCAAAGCCCCTAAGACGGGGAAAAGCTTGGTGTGATTTGAGAACAGTGCTCTGCGCGTGCTTCTTAAAGGGCCTGATGATAAACGTGTCTCTCGACCCAGCTCTGCCATCGCAGCGCCACAGATGATACGTAGACAAAAATGCACAGGTGACTGTGTTCCAGGAAAGCTTTATTTACAAAAACAGGTGGCGGGCTGGATGGGATCAGCAGGTCATAGTTTGCTGACCCTGCTTGGGAACACGAAGGCCCGTGCGGCTACAGTGTGTAATCTGAGGGTGACATGAGGTCAGCGGGGCCGACGCGGGGCCGTGGAGGGCCTTGTAGGTAACGCCCAGAGCAACGGGAGGCCACTGAAGGATTTTAAGCAGGGGAATAACATGATATGATTTCCATTTTGCAAAGATCCCTCTTGCTGCTGTGTAAAGAACAGGCTATGGGGACAAGACCTGTTAGGTGGCTGGCAGAGATGCCCAGGTGAGGGGTGGAGTTGGCCTGGGCTTGAGTGTGGCAGTGGCAGTGGCGATGGCTGAGGGGAGTGGCTGACGGACGCCCCCTGAGGAGCTCTCCTGTAACCCCATTTCCTGGGCAGCTGGGTGGGGGCTTCTTAGAGAGGATGTTCTCTATGAGCAAAGCAAACTGGGGACAGGCCTGCCTGGCGCTGGCGCTGCACCGTGCACCACGGGAATCAGTGGATCCGGCTCATCTCAGATCTTGATAAAAGTATCCCCAGAACCCAATTTTAGTGACTGCCACATGCATTTTCCAGGTAGCACTAATCATGTTGCTTCCAGATGACTAATGTTCCTGAGAACACGAGTTATCTCGCTTTCCAGTTACTGTTTGCGGTGCTCTTGGCGAAGTGGACAGTTTCCTAGTAGATTGGCAAGGGCCAGCACAGGAGCTATTTCCAAGTATTGCACATGCATTCCCCGCTGCACAAAGTCCATGAGCTGACCGAGCGGCAGCCACTCCAGAGGCGAGACACCGGCCCCCGGAATCCAAAGGCTTAGAGATTAATCATTATGAAACGGCAGACTTTCCCCTCCGTGTGCTCCTCCCTCTTCCTCCTCCTCATTCATTCTTCTTAATGCTGAAGAGAAAAGCGTGTGCACACAGACACACACATGGACACACACACGCAGGTCCACTTTCTTCTGATTAGTTGATCTGACAGCTACAGAGCATCCAAGTTAAATAGCCCTGATCCAGTATCTGCAGCAGTAAACTAACAAGACCTAGACCAAGGAGAAAGACCCCCTCCCTAACATGGCAATAGTTTTTTTTTTCTCCTGAATTTGCCCGATTTCTCCTATAGAGGCGAAGAGAGGTGAGCCATAGGGCATATATACATAAGCTTTTTCCTCTGGAAATAGGACCTCGTAAAATATTATCAGCCCAACCGATCTAGACAGTGGATTAACATTTTGTCAGATCCATCTTCGGCTTCGTCCCAGTACACACTGGGAGGTGTTTTCTTTCAGGTTTAATTTGGCCTTTTGCTCTTGAGGGAATTGGAAAGGTCACCGGCATTGCTGGTTAAAAACCAACCAGCGTCAGCGAATCCTGCCATGAGTCCCAGCAGAGAGCCCGGGAAGGTTCGGGTGAGGACTCTGACTCCTTAAATCCAGCTTTTCTCCTGCTCTCATTTGTCCTCACATGCAGGCTTTGTGACAATTGCGGAGTTGGAAGGAGCAGTCACAGAACCTTCCAAGCAGGGCACTCTGCTGGGAAGGAGAGGACTCAGCAGTCAAAAATCACCAGGTGTATTTTTTCCTCTTATCTTTTTTTTTTTCCTTGTTTGGTTAACTATTTAAACTACTTGCAAAAGGAGACTTAACAAGGAGAGAAGGCAGGATTGGGAAATGGTGCAAGCACTTTGTACAACAGCTTGGCGTTTCCTCAAACAGTTAAGCACAGAGTTTTACCACACGTCCCAACCCAGTAATCCCACTCCTAGGTGCATCCCCAAGAGAACTGAAAACATTTGTCTTCATGAAATCTCACACACAGATGTTCACAGGAGCCACAAAGTGGAAACAATCAAAATGCCCATCAACTGATGAGTGAGTTTAAATAAAACGCGGGTAGAGCATACAAAGGAACGGAGTTCTGCTACGTGCTACATCATGGATGAACCTCGAAAACATTATGCAAAGTGAAGAAGCCAGTCACAGAGATCACATTTCGTATAATTTCATTTATATGAAATGTCCAGAGCAGGTACGGAGGCGAAGTAGATTAGTGGTTGCCTTGGGCTAGATGGAGCAGGGTCAGGGTTAAACGGGGGGTGACTGCTAAAGGTGTAGGGTTTCTTTTTGGAGTGATGAAAATAGTCCAGAATTAGATGGTGGTGACGGTCACACAACTCTATACTAAAAACCACCAACTTGTACGCTTTAAATGGGTAAAGTCTATGCCGTGTGGCTATCTCAATAAAACTTTTATTAATAAAAAAAGAAGACTGCACTCACCAAAAGGAGTCACAAATAAGACACACAAGCATGCATGTGCCGTTTGATAGTTTAAACCAATTCTGTCCCTGGGATCGGGGGTCCTTCGTGTTGTCAGGGTTAATAGCTGATGGGAACAGGGTGTTCCCTTGCCCGGAGGGCAGGCCTGCAGGCCCCGCATTCACCTGCAAATGCAGGAGTCTCTCCGACCACGTGCAGGCAGAAGCCCCTCCCCTGCCGACAGAGCGGGGGCCCAGAAGCCTGAGCCCTGCAGCCCATTCTGGTTTGTCTGCCGAGAGAGCTGTGTCATGTTGTGGCAGGGCTGGGACTCCCCCACCTGGGCCTGTGCAGGAGACACTCCCCGGTGACGTGGCTTTGGACGGCCTCCAGCAGGCCCACTGCGCCTGCGGTCTGCCAGGGCCCAAAACACCAGCTGCCGACGGGAGAGGTGGCAGGGCGGGCTGGCTGCGCACTCTGATTTGGAAAGGGCCCGCATCCCAGCTAACGGAGCAAAGGTTTAAGCGCAAGGCTTTCGGCTTTGAGAAACATAAGAGGGGATGCAGACTCAGCAGGCCACCTGCTCACCCTCGCACCTGCTGGCCCCGAAGGCCAAGGCTTGCGTGTGCCTCACTGCCCACACCGTCTACCTGTGGACACCTCGAGGATGCGGGATGCAGGGCTGGGCACGCAGCGTGGCAGCCCCTTTGGACAAGGGCGCAGCCAAGGGCTGGTTCCCAGGAGCTGTTTTTGCTCTGGTTGGAGGTGAGGCCCTTACAGGTACAGCCAGGGCCCGGGAGGTCAGCTGCAGCGCCGACTGCCCAGCCAAAGCCAGGCCTGGGCCATCCGTATTAGCTAACAAGGCAAAACTGCCATGGTGAACTAGGGCAGTCTCAGGGGTTTTGTTCTAAGACAGATGCGAGGATGATGACAATGATGATGAAGCTGACAGTCATAACAACAACAACAACAACATATTGATGCTTAAAGTGTGTTGAGCACCATTTTAATCACGTGATGTGTGTTACCTCCCAAAGCCACTGCCAGGTACTGGGCTGAGTTCCTCGAGGGCACAATCTCAACATCCTAACAACTCAACAAGGAGCTGATTATACTTGTCTACTCCTCATAACGCCACCCAAAGCCCTGTGGCCACTGTCTTATTTTGGGGAAAGACAAAGAAACACACACACACTCTTTTTTGGTCTTACCCATTCTATTGAGATTTTTCCTCGGTAGGAGCTTTGAAAACGCCCGTTATTTATTTATCTGCTCCTCCCCCCCCCCCCCCCGTGTGTTTGCCAGGGGATGAGAGACTCACCGTTATCGAAGACGGTGCCCGCTGTGAACGAAAGTTCTGAGTCATGTTCAGCTTTGCAGGCGTACAAGGCTTTCGCCTTCCGGAACGGCGTGCTGCGCGAAAACAGGAGTTCATTTAACATTTTTAGAAAACCCCTAGAAAGCCCCCGATACTTGATCTCTCTCCTTCCCTTTCTCTACAAGCCACCTAGTCCTCTCTCGTGGGAAGAGCCCGACAAGGCCGCCAGATGGCAAAACAGGAGGCGGAAAAGTTGTGAAGGTCACAGGAGAAAAATGAGAAATATTCAGAGAGAAGCCGGGAGCGCCAAGAAACCACACTTCTTCTGGGGTCACATGGTGCCCTGTTCAAACTTTACCTGGGAGTCTCGGCAGCTGAGCAGTGGGAGGGCTGCTCGGGCCCCACCGTGGGGGCAGGAGTGGCCCTGGGGGAAGGGTGGGAAGCAGAGGCAGGAGAGAACGTCCAAGCTGCTCTGGAAAACACTCCCGACAGACCCGACAGTTGAAAGCTGGCAATGTTCAACGAGTCAAAAAGGAGAAATCCTAGCAAAGCCAAGTTTCGGCTCCAGCAGGCCACGGGCTGCCATTAGCTCTCCCAGATGTTGCTTATTTTCCAGTGGGCTGGGTCTTGCTGGGGGGTGGGGCAGGACTCTAGAGCTGGAACTTTCCGACCTCCAGGGAAGGGCAGGGAGTAGGAAAGGTGCGTGTGAGAGCAGTTACACGTGTGCGCATGCACACACGTGTGCACCTGCACGGGGAGTGTGGGGAGGAGGAGGAAGGGCGGGGGGCACAGTGCATTTTACTTTTCCCTTCTCACGTCCAGAGTGTCGACAACCACTCTCACTGGGATTCAGCATCACCTGAGGGGCATTTAGAGACCGCAGATGTCTGCGTTCGACCCAGGTGTGCAGATATAATCACAGGCGTCGGTATTTTCAAAGAAGCTCTCCAAGGACTCCTATGTGTGAGCCGGGTTGAGAACCACAGTTCTAGAGCAGAGGTTGGTAGACCGTTTTCTGCAAAGGGCCAGACGGTCAATATTTTGGGCTTTGCGGGCCATGGGGTCTCTGTTATGCAGAGTGATCCGAGGAAATGATTTTTCAGAATCTGTTGCTGGGCCACAGTTCACTGTCATTCTTTCTAGTTTTCTAGGAGCCAAGAGACAATGGCCAGGTGGGAGAAAAGTTGGGAAAGTGGGACCACTGGGAACGCAGGAAAGACGAGCCTTCAGTATCCATCCGCTCCAGCTGGAAGACAGCCCTTCCTGTCTGATTATGATGACAGAATAAAGTTCAGGACAAGGGGCACATTCTGCGATCTAAGTCAGCCAAGTCTGTGTGCTGACCAGCAAGGGCCCAACACCCAATGTGCACTGCTCCAGGGAGGGACAGCAAAGTATGCATGCATGTATGTATGTATGTATGCATGTATATATGTATGTATGTATGCATGTATGTATTTAGGAGGTGGGAGGCAGACAGGAGTGGTGACCTGGCTGTGAAAAGAGTGAAAATAGGCAAAAAACCCCACAAAAACCTATACTGACAGGCACGTGGATCTGGGCGCAACACTGAAGACGGAAGGAGAATGCAGTCCCCATTGGCCAGGGTCTTGGGGACCAGGTCTCGAGGCAGCATTACGCCTCTTGAGAACGGGGCAGAGCACGCGGGTACGGTGCAGAGACCAGGGAAGGGGGGATAGACGGCCGGGGAAAGATGTGAGGCAAGGTTTCTCTGGCTGGATTTTCGCAGAGGTTACTCATTAACCTCATTAAATAAAGGTAATGGGGCAAAACAGGGATAAGTCAGGGAAAGAAGCCGGGGTTTCTGGCAGGCAGAAAGCAGAGGGAATGGTCTCAGGTGCCCATGACTCTCATTCAAAAGGAGTAACTTTCCACTCATATTAGGGTTTTCAAATTGAATAATAAAAGTGACAATAAAATAGTACATTAAAAAAACACGAAGGTCAGGAAGGGGCCTTGTTTTTCTCTCGGCTTAATTAAGTGACTGACAGTCTACGGGAGGGTCTTTTCCCCTGAGACCCCCCACCCCCCAACCCCCTCAGGCTGGGCACAGATTGGGAGGGACGACAGAAGAGGTGCTTTTAAAAGGGGCCACACCTGTTCCCCAGGAGTAGAGTTGCCAGATAAAATATAGGACACCTAGTTGCAGTTTGATTTCTGATAAACAACAAATAATTTTTTAGTGTGTGTGTATATATATGTCCCAGCCAATATCTAGGACATATATATACTGAAAAATTATTTCTTGTTTATCTACAATTCAAATTTAACTGAGTATGCTGTATTTTTATCTTATTTGCTAAATCCGGCAACCGGACCCAGGGCAAAGTCTTATCTTTTAAAAAGTTTGTCAGCCCAGCAAGCCCGTGTCCCATAACTCCCTCTCAGAAGCCTTGAGCGGTTTGTTTTAGCTAGGGTTCCTACCCAAACAGATCCTGTTGGCAGACAGGTTGTATTTGTAAGGCTTTGGCTTTGGTTAAAACAATTAAAAATCCACACCAAGCATCCTTGGTTCTTTGGCTCCCTTTTCCCTGCCGTGCACCTCAACACTGGACACAGCCAGCCTGCCACGGAGCCCCTGGGACCTCAGCTGGGCCCTTTAAGGGCAGGGACGAGCGTGGATCCTTGTGCTAGTTCCCTTTCAACTGTCGCCTCTGAGCGTGGCACTGGGCCTGGAAAGCACTCCCAGTCGCTTCCCTCAAATGCCCTTGCAGGCTCTGCAGAACGACAGCCCACTCTCCAGTGCGTGGCATCGTGACAGGGGGGTGGGGCCAGCTAGACTGGCAGGTGGCAGCGGCTCGATCGTTTAGGCCCAATTTCCAGTAGCCCCTGTGCAAATGCAAGTTATGGGTTTAGGGGCTAAGAAGGGCTTTTCTGGGGGAGGGGAGTGGGCGCGAGGAAGGAAAGGGGAACGGGAAGGAAATGCTCCTCCAGTGCTCCTCCCCTGCAGTGCTGCAAGAGGCAGCTGCATTCCTGAGCCCGAACAAACAAGCTCTAAAAAACGGTTTGAAGAGAGGGCAGGAAGCCATTTCTAGAAGGAGACATCATGCAGAAGTTCATGGGATCACTAATTGGGACTAATGTAGTATTTGTTTTTAAAAGCTTTTGTCCAGGGAAGGAAATCTGAAGCTTCATGTTCTAAAAGCAGATTTGGGGGAAGGCCCCACTGGACCTGAATAATGGGTGTGGCACCCCTCCCCACCCCCCAGCTGTACACTGCAATAGCAGTTAGGGGGTTTGAGTTCTCTCTGTTCCTCTGATGGGCTAGATCCCCGCAGCGTCCCTGTCTGTGCTCACGCTGGCACACACTTAGCTCAGTGACAGCCAATCCCAAGCCCTACAAGGCCTTGCCTATTTCAAAATGGCAGCTTCCTAAAGGATGTCCAAGTGGTGCTATCCTAACAATGACCAGAGAGGGCAGTGCTGAGTAACCATGACGCCAAGCACACCAGGTGAGCAGATTCTATTGCCACGGACTGTCCTCTGCCAATCTGGAAATGATGTGGGGAGGTGGGAAGGAGTAGCTGAAGGAAAAAACAAGCTGGACATATTTTGGGGAGATGAAGAGATACTTGGACAAGCAACAGGGTCCCACAGCTCAGAGACACGAAAAATGTAGAACTCTCACAGCAGAGGGTCCGTGTCAAGTTTTTAGCTGAATGATTCCACTGCCCTGAGTCCTTTAACGCATTTTGTCCAAGGGGCCAATGTTTTGGAGAATTTACTCCCTTTCAATGAAAATGAAGGAGGCACAGTCTCCTAGTGCCCAGGCCTCTCTAACTAGTGAGGCATTTTGGAAGGTGGCTGTCTCTGGTTTCTGCAGTTTGCTCTGGTTCAGGTCCTCATGGGGCCGCCATGAGGCATCAATAATTCTGATTATTCTAACCAGAATAATCCATTCCATTTCTGGTATCCTAGAAAATGAGTGTCTCTCAAAATGCCCAGAAGATGCCTAAGAAATAATTAGGAAATAATTTGGATGCTATGTCAGGAAAATATGGTACTTTTTTTTTTTCTTACCTTATTTATAGAGTAAGAAAAAAAAAATACTGAAAAGCTATCTTTCCTATCATCCAGGATAAAGCTAGGGAGAAAACTATATCGAACCTAAATGAGCAGGCCAGGGCCTGGGACTGGGAGCTACAGAGAAACTTAAAATTGGGGTTGCCCACATTTCGAGGAAGGAGTGCTGGGTTGAGGGGAGACGTCCTGAACCCTGGATTGGCTCTCATTTAATCATGTGACTGCGCCCAAGTCACCTTGCTGTGCCTTAGTTTTCCTTTTGTATAATGGGGTTCAGGCCATTTCTCTTCTCATTCTCACAAGAGGGTAGAATGAAATGATGGATTTGAAAGTGTCTGGTGGGGGTAAAGGAATATATGTATCTGTGTATATAAATAGCTTGGGGTTTTCTTTTTTTTTTTTAAAGTGAGACTCGGCTTTATAAATTATTTAAGGCTCTCTGCTGGATCCACCCCTTAGGAGAAAAAGATGGACGAGAAAATACTGCCAAAGCCCAGAATGCTCATGGTGCTTATAACTGGGCTCCGCACGTCAGCTTTCTGACAGCGGAGCCTAAGTGCCAGAGATCCCCGTGCTCAGCAGCTCACAGCAGCGGCATCCTGCAGGAGCTTTCCTGGGTTCTTTTCCTGGATTTAAAAGAGCTTCTTTTTCTTCAAAGAGCGCAAGGGCTAGGAACTGGGGCACTTGAGTCTGGACGTCGCGGAAGCAGGGAGAACTATAGCGTGGCTCTGGGGAGAGGAACTAGGTCAAGCTGCTCACCCTCGGAAAGCGGTGGTGCCCGCTCCCATGAGAGCTCGGGGTTCCTGACACACAGACAGAAGCAGGCTGGGAGCACGGCTGAGTCCTGGAGTATGTGGAGGACAAGGAGGCACAAGCCATGAGCAATGTAAGAGAAATGGCTTCATGTCGTGAGCTTCTATTCTTTGTTATGCTCGTCTCTCACCCAGTGGATCTGGTCTCAGAGACTAGGTGTCACTGCTCATGGCCAGTGGCCCAAGCCCATACATAAGTGTTGCCTGATGCTACCTAATAAAAATGAGAGAAGAAAAGGCCAGCACATGTCTCAACACTCTTCCCGCTTATATGATCTCGCACCGAAGCACCGAGAGCCCACGCCACTCGGAGAGCCACCATCGAAACAAGCACCTTATTCGGGAGGTGCTCTTTCTCCAAACACCAGGCACCAGAGATTAATTCAGAAACCAGAGTTAGGGTTAAAAAGGTTGTGGAAAATGCCATGCTGGTTCATGCAAATGGTCCCTCCTGGGCTTTGGTCGCTTAGGATGGAACCAGAGGAGAGCAGAGGCAGCCCCCCGTTGTCCCCGACCAGCTTTGGATACACGGGAACAGATCGGTCATCATCCGAGATTTTACCTGGAGTCCTCACGAACCGCTGCTTCTGGCCTGTCAAAAAGCAAGTGCAGGTTTGGATGGCAGGGAACAAAGTTGACGAGCAGGCTGAACACTGCATGAAGAGAGGACCAAGCCAATGAGAGAACAACAGCAGCAACAGAAAACCAAACAAACCCTGCAACAGACCTGGCGGGGGATGAGTCGCCGGACGTGGATGAGGTGGGCATAGGGCTGGATGGTGCCGAGAACATGGGCCAGGATGGCGAGAGGGGTGAAGTTGGGCTTGGATTCGGGGGGCTGCAAGACACAACAACCAGAAAACTCGTCAGCACACAGGGGAGACCACACTGGGAGCACGGGAGGTCAGGGGAGGCCAGATGATGGGGAACGGGAGCAGGGCAGAGCGCCCCTGAGACCCGGCGACTGTTGCCAGTGCCGCGTCACGTTGCTCCAGAGCAAAGCTCTTGTCCAAGCGATGCCCGTCCTGCAATTCCTTGGAGCACAGACAGGCTGTGCCCTGCAGGACACCTGCTTTCCAGGTGATAGGAGATGCTGCGCTCATGGCCATGGCGCCTCTGGCCGTTGGTGACAGGCGCCCAGAACCCATGTACAGGAGTTCCTGCGCCATATCCTATCACCAGCCTTGTTCCGAGGCAGGGGTGAGCTTACAACGAGCCTGTGGCTTCCACTGCCATGGGGGTGGGATGTGGGAGTGCTTGAAAGTTATGTCTCAGCAAAAATGACATTTTTTTTTCTTCTGGGCCACAAAGGTCATTCAGCCAGAAAATAATTTCCTGTTTGCATTTTTAACTAAATGGGATGCATGCCGGCGGAGATCCGAAACACCGCACCAGGAAGATGGCAGCAGATGGAGGCGAGTATGGACGCACACGTCTCAGGAGGCGGCGTGCAGTTCCCAGCAGCGGCGGTTCGCCCGGGTTTGCTGTCTAGGCCTGCGCTTCCCCTCTTCCTGGATTTTGCGCATTGTGATGCTCGGAGAAAAAGCCCCAAAAGGAAGGCAATGAAAAAACAAATAACCTGGAACCTTCAATGTGTCCATTTTGTTCTTTGATGGGTGGCTAATCAAAGGTTTAGAGAGGAAAATTGGAAATGACTTGCTGAAATATGGTTTGTGGATTGTATAATAACCGGTCACGCCAGCCCTCTGACTTACTTCTACCAGTTACACAAACACCTTGGCAACTCTGTGAGATCTCATTAAGTCGCAGAGAGCGCAAACACGGAGACTGAGAGAAGGTGGAAACCATCTAGCCACAACGCCACCTGCAGCCCCTGAATCTCAGCCGACTGCCGGACTGCTGCAGGAAGCACTTTAGGGAGGTGAAAACAACAGGCACTCAATTGAAGGGGAACGGACTTTCTAAGCACAGCGGGACTTAGCGAGAGCACACGAAGTTCCTACTTAATGGGACTTCCCCAGGGTTGTGCCAATTCAGCCATGAGACCCAATGATGGCCCTAATTACCTACCGTGGTAACACAAACACCTATGTTAATATACAATAGAAACCCACTTCAAAGAGCTTCAGACAAATGTGCTGAAACACTTACTAAATGCTATTATGTGTATTATGTTCTAGAATATACATTCTATGAAGTGCAGAGATTTTTGTCTATTCTGTTTACTGCTACATCTCCATTGTCTAAAATAGTGCCTGTAGTTATTCTACAAATTATTGCGTTAACAGATTTCATTTAACCTACCCGATGAGCCCACAAATGGGCGCTATTATAATTTCCATTTCACAGATGTGGAAATGTGGGCTCAGGGGAAGCTTGCATGTGGGCACCCAGCCTGTAAGTCACAGGGCTGAGGTTCAAACCCCATCCCCTGACTCCAAGCCCAGGGCTCTTGCTCCTCCCTCTGCGGTAGCAGGACTTGCTCTGTTCCTCTCGGCTTTGCCAAGCTTCTTTATAGACCCCATCACAGCATCACAGATCTTCTGCTATGAGGTTCCCTTAGATGCCTACCATATTTGCAAGGGAAAATGGGAATACAGCAACAGACAGACTCAACATACTGTAAATTCCAACAAAATCCCCAATCCTGCCTCCAGTGTTCTGTCTGGTAGGTTCATATAGCAGATGGGATTCATATTCAAAGACTACAACTCATTTTTAAAAAAAAAAATTTTCTTAATCCAGCAAAGACTAATCAAAGAGCACCTAGTATGATCAAGACAATAAGAGGAATTTGCCAAAATCCCTGACGTCTAAAGCTTAAAACATATTTGACAAGATGGGACAGATGAAAAAACAACTGTAATGTAAGATAGCAAGATCCATCAGCCCAGGGATAAGCTGCTTCTATTATTAGTTTAATACCTGCTTTCACTTGACTCTGTCTCTAGTCCTAGAAGAAGTGTTAGCTACTTTTCTACTGTCTGGTTTCTTCCATAGTTGCTGCTGGCAAGACAAGCCTTGCTTTCTCAGTCCTCTCACCACAACCCTGTCTGACTACAAAACCTCCTACTAGGCAAGGCTGGCCTGGCAACCATTTCCGAACTGTGGCCAAGCCCAAGAACCCAAGCAGGACCGGGATCTTTTGGAGGTTCAAGAGAACTGCCCAGGCCCCGAAACCAGGACTCATCTATTCCTTTGGCCAATGGTCACCACGGGACAATTTAAAAAAGTCTTTACATCTTTTTTTTTTTTTCTTTTTTTAAATGACTTGTATAAGTAGGAGACACCTCCAGCTTCCTACTCCATCTGTACCAAGAATTATGCCTTTGGCTAAAGGCATAGTTGGGAACATACTCCATGAATACAATGTGGGTTCTAGATGTTTTTCACATCCTCAGATATCTGAGTGGTTCTTGGCCAGTAGTACATGGCTGCAATGATCTGGGGGTGCGGCTGGAATGCAGGGTATTCGTAACTGTTGTAAGAACTTACTCGTCAATCCCCATGTCAACTGCCAGAGTATCAACTGCAATTTTTAACAACAGAATTGCCTTTGTTTGTTTATGTTTTAGTCATGGCAATAACACTGATGTGCTATAAAATGACCACAATTTAAAATTCATCACCACTGTGTCTTCGTGTAATAGTAAAATGCATACTCCATAGTACTTCTATGGTTTTCTTAAAACTACTCAAGGAATTATGCCTTTTGTTTATTTGTACTTTAGAGGCATGTCAACAAAACCTCACTATCAACAATACTACTGCAAATTTTTATAGAGCACAATGATGCCTGTAGCAACAGAAGGACTATAAACATACAAATGCTCCTCCAAGAAATAAAGAGCACGTATTTTAGTTCGGATGCAAAGCTACATGAGCACGAGCGTGTGTTCTCATACTCAGAGAACACGTGTGTGGGATATAAGATGCTCAGGGATGATGAGGATGATGGCCCAAGACTCTGCATAGTCTTAAATTCTCCTTTCACTACAGAAGTGTCTGCCTGTAGGTTACCTAAAAATGACAGCAGTAGACAAAAAATTCTTGCCAGCCCCCCCCCAAAAAAAACCAAACCAAACCAAAACAGACAAAAAAAAAAAAAAAGCAACTGTCAATTTCATTCTTGGCTCTGAAAGCGCCAATATTGACTTCTCAAACCCTTTTCCCACTAATGAGGCCAAGGATAACAAACGGTTGAGATTAAAATAGGAGAAAATAATTTTGTAACTACAGTTTTAGCAGATGACCCCTTCAGCCCTCTCTACAATCCTGAGCCCAGCTGGGAGCATCGAAAACAGAACGCTCCAGCACCCAAAAAATATCCCCGGGGTTCTGCCAGGCCCCCACACCAAGGCTCTGCTACAGCAACGGCCCAGCTTGATCATTAGCACGGGGGGAACGTTCGCCGGTCTGGCTTAAATTCAACTAGAAGGATTGCCTCAGCTTTAGTTTGCTGGCCCAAGGTGTCCTCAAAGGGGGTCAGACAGTCCCAGTCACCCAAGTCAGTCCCTCTGACATTCATCGGACAGTAGAAGAATAACGGTTTGGGAAGATAAGGCTAAAAAGGCTTGGCAGCAGGCTGGGTTGCGGCTGATAGTTCAAGTACAGTGTGTGGCAATATCATCAGCTTGACACCCTGCTGCGGTGACTCACTTGAATGATGGCACGTCTGCTGCAGCCGCCAGGGCATGCCTGCTGGGCGGTGGCGGGGCGGCCCGGGCAGGCTCCCAAACTGGCGACGGCCGTGGCAGACCCTCTGCGGTCTCCACGCCACAGTGGCGGAGCTGCCTCGAGAGGAGAGGGGCCCTCACCGGACGACTAAGGGACCCGTTATAGAGGAAAGCTAATCTTTTGAAATTCTGACCGTCGAAATGACAGAGGGCCTTTGTAAAGAAAGGGAAAATACCAAAAAGCAAGAAGAAAAGCAGCAAAATCACACATAATGTATACCACTGATAATTTCCATTAACGTCTTGGCATATTCCTCCTCACTTTTTTTTTTGGGGGGGGGATAATACTACATACATAGTTCATAGCCTGTTTCGTTCATTTAATATAGTAAGGTATTTTCTGATGTCATTAAATAGCCTTTGATATATTTTATTTATTTAAATTAAAAATATTTTCTTCTTTATCTTTTTTATTTTTATTTTATTTATTTGTTTTCTGGCCCCCTGTTTAAAAAGTCTGAGGTATATTTTAAATGTTGCCACAGGGCATTCTATTGTGTGGCATACCATGATTTATGTAACCATTCTCCTGTTGTGTGCATTCAGATTACTGTCCCCCTTTAGCTATTATAAATAGAGCCGCAACTCACATCCTCACGGAGGATCACTGCCTGAGTCTCATTTGTTTCCTTGGCATAAATTCCTGGAAGTACAATTAGTGGGTCAAAGGCTAGCAGTTTCTTTTAAGGGTCTTGACATGTCCTGCCAAATAGCTTTTTCGAAAGGTCCTAACCAAACTGCATTCTCACCGACACTGGGAATTCCTTCTCACTGTCACATCATTATCGGCATTGAGCAGTATCATTAAAAAAAAAAATTTATGGGCATTGTTTTCAGTTTATAAAGGTCACCTTGGACTCTTGTCTTTCCTAAGCCTTCCCAGTGATGGACAAATGTATACAGTTCCCTTCCCGGGTTCTGCTTCCACGCAGCAGCAATGTCTAACTCTCCAAAGGGCATTCTGACAAGAAGGTAGTTCTGGGAAGGAGGCAGGCCGGAGGATAGAAGAGTCAGACATCTACAAACTGGAGACGTTAGACCCTAGTCCAGGGGTCCTCAAACTTTTTAAACAGGGGGCCAGTTCACTGTCCCTCAGACCATTGGAGGGCCGGACTATAGTTTAAAAAAAAACTATGAACAA